GGGGGGGGGGGGGGCGCACTCCCTTCCCGGTGCCTTCTCTCCCCACCGCTTTCTGCTGGGCTCCCTTATAAAGACCGCTGTCAGCCTGAGGAACGCAAAGGGGCTCGCAGTCACTGAAGAGCTGAGGCCCCGTCCTGCGGGCCCCATTTCCCGGCTGAGCGGCCTGGTCAGATCCCCAGGTTTTTAACCTCCCGGAGCCTCTGCTTCCTTCTTGTAAAATAGAAATAAAAATAGCTCCTATTCACCAGATTGTTTCAAGGCCAGAGAGTGCAAACCCCAAGGAAGCCCTGTGGGCCTCAAATGTGAACAGCCTTTTCCTCCTACCTGTGCGCACACCTCCACGCTGCCCTTGTTGGAACACCCTCCCCGCCTTGTTCCATTTGTCAAGTGGGATGTCCTGGAAAGCTGAGAGGCTTTGCTAGAAAACCTGAGCATCCTACCAGGGCCGACAATTAAGTGAAAGAAGCACTGTCAGGGAGACTGAGCCCGCACTCGGGCCTGTCACCTCTGTCACCTGTCCCACGCACAGCACTGATCACTTCTCTCCGTGCCTGGGGGCTGGGGTGCTCCTTGCATGGCCTTGGGCCCCTCACATCTCACGCCTAAGGGGCTGAGGCCCAAACTTGAAAGAAAAAGAGGCTTCCTCCACCGAGCCCCCCCATCCCGGTCACAGTGACCACCTCCCTCTTTTCTATCTCCCTCCCCACCCCCTCTGTCTTCAGGAGTAAACTTAGTATCTCAGCCACGTCATCTTTAACTTGAGAACCCTAAGGAAATGCTGAGCCAGGGGGGAAAAAAAGGAAGAAAGAAAAAGAAAATGACGTTCGAACTTCAGGATTTCAACGGACTTGGCAAACCGAACTTCTAAGAGCTGCAGAGAATCTCAGAGGTTGTCATGCCGGCTGCCGGGGGAGCTTTGGGTGGGCGGCAGGTGCTTCCTTCTCCTGCCCTTCCCGCTCACTCAGCAAGGCAAAATACCGGAAATAGTCCTTAGCGGCCATCACGTGGGTGAGCATCTGCAAACACGTGTGCTATTCTATAAAGTGAATGCAGGACCAAAAGCAGCTGATCTCAACCCAGAGGGGTTCCCAAGGCCAGGCACTCTGTGGGTAGGTCTAGTGAGGGGGCCTAGCGCGCAGGTGGGCCTGAGGCCAAGGTGGGGCCAGGGCGTCCCAAGCTAGGCCAGGCCAGGCTGACCAGCAGACAGAGTGGCCCAGAGACAGATCTATGCCTCAAAGGTTACATACGGACTATGTGTGCGTATTGAGTGTGTATGGGGGAGGCGGTATATTTTAGTACAACCTTAGTGAAGGCCTATTTGGCAATGGGTGTACCAACTTTAAAAAATGTGTATAAGCTTCAAGGAGAAAAACCGCATGTGATATCCAGGAGCTGGCCTGGCATGCCTGCAAGGCCTTGCTGTTCTCCTGTTGGAACACAAACAGTTTCGCAGAAAATCGGTGTCAGAACTGGCCACGCTGGGATGGATCAAGAGAAAACGAGACCACCCCAGAATCAGTCTGAACACACACACAACATGAACATTATCCAACCCACAGAAAGGACCAGATATCCTTCCATCCTGGCTAATATGTATGAACAACTATTCCTTCTTTACCAATTACAGCTTTGCCTTAGTCTAGATAAGATGTGCTGAGATACCCCACCTGAGACCTGTCTCTGCCCTGAGAGCATCCAACACGGAACAAAGCCCTGCTTCTTTACGTCTTCCCCAGAAGCACCTGACTCAAGCCCAAATGCTATATACCACCTGCCTCCGAACAGTCTCTTACTGCGCTGCCCCACAGCTCCCCCTGGTGGCTGTCCTCCCTCCCTACAACGAGCCCCAAAGCCAGCTTGCTTAACATGGGTGCTCCTGGTGGCCTTTGGCTGGAGTAGCGACAGCATTCACCCAGGTTATCCACTTCCAAAATTTAGCCCAAGGAAAACTCATGTTCATAAATGTATATGCGTAAGGAAACTCAATGCAATGTGCGTGCACCATGACAGCAAACCATCAGACACCACGTAAATGTCCATCAGTGGGCGGCTGCGTAAATGCATTTTGCGACCATGAGACACATGCAGTCATTAGAAATGATGACAAAGAGCCATATTTATTGATGGAAAAGTTTGCATCACATGATGGTTACATTATAGCATCACATGAAAAAAGGGTTTACAAAACGGTATGCAGGGGCACTGCAGAGCTCCAAATAATCCTGCTTTTATAAAGATAAATTAATAAGTATTTCATACACTGAGAAAAAAGTATAGAAAAATAAATATAAAAACATTAACAGTTACCATTTCTTGGTTTGGGGATTATGAGGTTTTTTCCTTACCTGCATCCCTAGACTTTTTAGCAGTGGAAGATTTTTTTTTAAAAATATTTATTTGAGAGAGAGAGAGTACACATGAGCAGGGTGGGGAGGAGAGGGACAGAGGGAGAGGCAGAGAGAGAGAGAGAATCTCAAGCAGACTCACTGCTGAGTGTGGGGCTCAATCCCATGACCCTGAGATCAGGATCTGAGCCAAAATCGAGTCGGCCGCTCAACCAACTGAGCCCCCCAGGTGCCCCCGGAAATGTTTTACTTAGGTAATAAGAAACAGAGGAACTTCCAAGAGCTAGGGGCTGGGCTGTCGTGAGAACACAGCTGAGATCACAATCTGGGGTGAGCGTGGAGGAGGCGTCTGGTCTGGACAAATGAGCATTGGGGTGAGGAGACACGGCTGTGCCCTGAGGAGGGGAGACAGGGAGACGGGGCCCAGCAGAGGTGGCTGGGCAGTGGGAGGAGGCCGCCCCCCCGGGCCTGTCTCAGGGTCCCTGTCAGACGTGGGGTTGACGGCGGGACTAGAGGCTGGGACTCTCTTCCAGAGAAGCGGGCTGGGTCTTTCTCTCTGTGCTGCCTGGGATACCTGCTCTGTCAGGCGTCGGGGGGTCCTACTTGAGGGGCACAGCCCACAGGCACGGTGGCTGGGCCCGAGGAGGGGCACCCGGAGCTGAGGGCCACCGGGGGCTTGGGGCTGCTTTCCAAGTTCACGCCGCACACCACGCCCCCACAAAAAGGCCTCCATCCCCGAACACCGCTAGCTGTGAGCGTGCCCTTCTTTGGAAACAGAGTCTTTGTAGATGTTAACTGGGAATGTGGAGAGGAGGTCATCCTGGATTGGGGTGGGCCTGAAATCCAAAGAGCAGTGTCCTTACAAGAGAGGGGAGAGGGAGCTGAGCCCCAGAGGAGACTGGAGGGACGTAGCCGCCAGCCACGGGATGCCAGGGACTGCGGCCACTGTCCAGAAGCTGCGAGAGAGGCAAGGAAAAGACTCTGCCTCAGAGCCTCGGCGGGGGGAGCACACCCCACCGACACTCGGATTTGGGACTTCTGGCCCCTGAACTGTGAGAGAAAACATTTCTGTTGTTTTAAGCTGCTGATTATGTGATGTTGTGTCCTAGGAAACAAAGACACCTTCCCACCCTCTCACTGCCCCCCATACGCCCACCGGTCAGCCTGGGGACCCCGAGAAGGTCAGGAGCAGTTAAGGAATCTAACGGCGGGCACGTCCCGATTTCGTCTCCAAAGTGGCCTCACTACCTGTCTCCCATGGGTAGCCGCTCACCCGGGCCTGGTCCTTTAGAGGGAACTGGGCAATGTTTCCAGGTTGACGGTCATATGCTAAGGAACACACAGGAAGAGGGACAGCCTGCTATTTCCTCGAGCCAGTAAAGGGAAATAGACTTCCGCGTCAAAACTCAAGAGAGGCTTTGTAAAACCAAAATCTACGGTAATTCGAAACACTGCATCATTTAAATAGCAAGTCCATCCTTCTCATTAGCTTCCATCTTACAAACAGCTTACGAACGGTTTCCACGATAACGAAGGAAATGTTCTTTAAATCCATGGACAGAGAAGGGAGCCAGAGAAGAGTGAAGGGCCAGATCTGATATGATTTTAACAAAGGCCAGAAAAGACTCAACCCTTCCCAGAAAATAAATCAGAGCCACACGTATTGCCAAGATCCAAAGAAAAAAATTTATTTACAATAGAGAATTTTATTCGAAACATGCATTTTTTTTTTAAAACAAATCAGCAAATGCAGATCAAGTTTACACTCCTTAAGGCAAGAGTCCCTGTGCAAGCTATACATGTTCATATTAAATCCAAAAGCCGCTCACCCTGGGAACTCATGTACAAAGGGCAAGGCCAAGGTCAGCGATTTGTCTTTTATTAGAGAATCAGACAATCTCCCTGATACAGGAACTCTGAGGTCAACTTGCTATGAATTATACTAAGAAAATGCAAACCAATAGCAAGAAATTCTGATAGTCTCCTTTAGTACTGCATACAATCAAATCAACGGTATTTAGAAAGGAAATACAGTAGTGCATACGAAAAAGTGAAAACAGAACCTGTCCACGTAACCGGAAGGACAGCAGTGAGCCGACGGTCATATTGCACGCAATGGTCAAGTCCAAACATTTGGTTCAAAGTTAGCTTTTCCCCATTTTGGCAATCAGTTCATCACAAATCTTGGTGAGTTCTTCTATCTCTTTATTCTGAAAGTGAAGACAAAAAAAAAAAAAAGGTTGCTGAAATCTCCTGGCTGTTGGAAATCAAGCCAATCAGAATGATCTTTGGGCTTTTCAGGGGTGTGGGGCCCTCCAGGTTTCTGGGTCCCCCTGAAATTATCTAATGCAGTAAGAGAAACGACATGGAGACAAATAATGTTAAGTACATACCCCAGCTCTAGCCGTGACCTTGAGCAAGTTACACAACCTTTCTGAGCCTTGCTGTCCTTCTCTCTACAGTGTGGATGACAGCATCTCTCTGAGAATGGAATGCAGTCAGAACGTAAAGCTCCCTAGCACAGTGACCGGCATAGAGTAGAGGCTTGACTCCTATGGGTTCACTTTCTTTGCCTCTGAAGGATGTGGACATAAAAGAGGGTCCGGGGTGAGCTCTCGGGCGGTCTGTTTGAGAAATGCCACCAGGAGGGGTTAAGCAATTCTACCCGAATAGGGTCGCTAGCATTATTTAGAGGTGCTGTGGACACGAGGAGTCGAGGAGAGAGGCAGGGGTAGACGCAAGATGGCTTCAGATGCTCCTCGCACCACGCCCTGCCCATGCTGGGAAGCAAGGGAAGCCAACCACATGCTCGCACCAACGATCAGACAACACCGTCCACGCTCTAAGTGTGGGGATCCAACGGGATGAGTCCAAGGGCAGGTGAGGCTTTGCTCTGATGCAGATCTGCTTCAACAGCCAATGTCGAACAGCCCTCTCCAAGGGGGCTAGATCTTTCTGGTATCCCAGGGACATACTGCAGCCAGTTTTCTGAGGTCCCCGTGGAAGGTGAGTCTTAACCACAAGCCTCTCCCCTGAGACTGTAACGGGGGCCCTTCCTTGGAAATCGTGGAAACCTCCTGAGACACGGTCCCGCCCGGAGCCACGTGTCCTGTGTTTCCAGGCTGGGCTCTGGGCGCCACCCGTGACTGTGTCCATATTGGGAAGAGTCGGGAAGAGTCGAGAGGTCCTCAATACAAGAGAAACGCAGCCCTCACTGCAGTCCAGCCACCAGCCCCCACTAGGAGAGAATCACCTGGAACAGCACCTCGGCTTACCCCCTTCTAGAGTTTTCAGCTCTGAGAGGCTCGATTCTGAGAAGCACCGAAACGTCTGTTGGAAGACGATGTTCTGTGGGAACGTGGCTCGAACCTTGAATCCTGGAAGGATCCTTGCCACAACAGCGTCTGCTGGGGCCGCGGATGGCGACTTTCCATCTTCCCGTGTGCCAGTCACCGTGCTCAACATGCCCCAGGCACTGGCCCCGCTAGGTTCTCACACACCAGTCCCTTCGGGGGAGCCACTGATATTTGCACTTTCCAGTGGGTAACCGAGGCTCAGAGAGGTTAAGTGTTGTGCTTAATTTAAGGTCACGCAGCTGGTCAGACACCGGAAGCCCGGAGAATTCAGGCTGGCCTGGCCCCAGATGGCTTTGCTGTTTTACTTATTAAACATAACGTGCGGCGACTGACCGCTGAGAGGCAGTAGCAGACCCACTCCCTATAGATTCCTGTAGGTTCTCCAAGCTCCATCTTGGCACCAGCAACCCACTGTCTAGCACTCGGCCATCGTGCAGCTCAGCTCACTGGGTTTCCAGCGCCCTGACTGGGCAAAATGCCCAGCGCCTCCAATTAAGAAGGGCCTGGTGGGGGGAGGTCATGCTTCTGAATCTCTTTAAAACTGAGACCGACCCCTCCGTATCACTCAGAGTCCTTTAGGGGAGAACGTGTGTGATGAACCCATTCCTCCTCGGTTTTAGTTTAAGACTGAATTATGTTTATAGATCTGTTTCTATCTTTTCTGTTCTCCAAAACTGGGCAGGCCACCTAGCCTTCTTCTTTGTCTTTCAGTTTGCCAGAATACGTAGCATCACCTTCATCTGGCAAGTGGAAGAGTCTGAACAGGCCAGGTTGCCTAGAAAACACCTATCCCGACTCTGGTTTTACCTCTATTACTTGAGCTAACACCATGATGCAGTTCAAACACCATCAAATCCTGAGGGAAATAGAAGGGAACCAATATATTGCTACATTTCTCACCTGGAAACATTTGATGCACAACTGCCTTCCTGCCCAAAATGATGGGGGAATGTGGTCCTTACTTTAAATGAATATTCCACTTCTCAAGAGTCACCAAATATGCTACACATGGATTATCAATATTCAAAGAATAAAAATAAACACCCGCTCCAGACGAGCAATGCAGAGCCACTCAATAAATATCGATGGGACGAGCAAATGCTTGTGTTTGATGCCTCGGACTCTGGGCTCCCTGCTAGGAACAAGGAGCAGAGCCTGAAAGATCGAGGCAGTTGAAGAGATTTGGCATATCTGGGCCAGTCCCGCCTCTTCACTTCTTTCCCTTTTGAGGGACTCTTCCAAATCTTCAGGTTTCAACCTCCAACATGACAAATCTATACAACCTGAGGGCAAGTGTGAGGCTTGCTCAGGGTCATAATGGATGGCGGGGAGTGGGTGGGGGTGGGGGGAGAACCTGAGGCTCCTGAGTCCCAGGGCTCTGTCCTTGACATCATTTAGGTGAAGAGAGAGGTAGTATGTGCCCACTGCTTGGCCCAGACCCACCTCGGACCCATAGCCAGCCCCCCTGGAACCTGGCTGGGTATGGGCACAGGAAAGGGGTCAGTCAGAGGCCACTGGGTGCTTTTGGGTCAGCAGACCATTTGGGAGACACGCTGGACTTCAGATGCCATCTGCCCATAAAGGACGTGCGCCCCCCCACCCACCATGACTGCCCTTTAAGGCCCAAATGTATGAGAAGTGATGCTACCCCAGGACACTGGGCTCTCTGATAACCATCCAAGGGACTCCTAAGGCTCAGTAAATCAACCAGAATGGGGTTGCTGTCTGGGAACTCCCTTTCTAGAGACACACTTAAGGAAGGGAGCTGTGTGGCACTCACTTACCCAGATTCCCCTGGGTGGAAGGGTTTTCCTGTCTGGATACCCAGGGAGAAGGTATGTATGGTAGACTGGGCGCTAGACCAGAAATCAGGACAAGCTGAGGAACCTCAGGAGGATTCTCCCATCCATGGACGCAGGAGGACATCTGGGGCCCTTTTGACCCCAACATGGCCTGGTGATTACCCCATTCCCTCACCAGTAAAGCATGCTGGATGTGGAGTAAGGTACTCTGCCTGGCACACTGTAGATACTTGGTAAATGTGTGACAGATGAATGTTGACAAGGAAGGAAAAGCAGCAATAAACGTCGGAGCAGACAGCAATTCCAGGAAAGGCAAGAAGGGGGACAGTCTCGGGGCGAGCATTACACTGGATCTTCCAGAGGGAGAGCAAGCATATGCTCACGAGGTCTAAACCTATCCCGGGAGCTGCAGGGAGCACACAGAAGCCCAGCCTCTGGGTCCGGCCAGCCCCACCCCGTGGAGGCCCCCCGCCCTCGGCTCTTACCTTCTGCTCCAGCGTCCTCTCCAAAGCGTCCACACGAAGCTGCTCCTTCCGCAGACTGGCCTGGTAGGCAGCCTGCTCCTGCTGAGCCTTGCCTCGGACCTGCGCGATCTCGGCGTTGGCCCTGTGGAAACAGCGGTGGCGGCGGGGGGATGCTCAGGAACGGTCACCCTTCCCCATAGACCCCTCCCGCCTTCTTCCTCCCAGCTCTGGGCAGCAGGAGCCCATGAGAACGCCCCAGCCTTAGCCCCCATTCCCGTGATGCCGCGGTGCTTTGAGTGGGTGCCCTGGAAACTGCAACGTGTGTCCTTCACTTATCAAAATGCTCAAGAGTACACTATTATCACAAGCCACACTGAAAAAGCACAAGTGGATTACCCGCCCTCCCCAAGCCAGTGTGAGCGGTGCCACTGGAGAGCCCTGCCTGCCTTGGCGGGGTGCTGAGAGGCCTCCGGGAGCGGACCCGAGGCCGCGTTACCTGTCCAGCTTCTCCTCCGCGTGCACCTTCAGGGCCTGGTACCTCTGCTCCTCTTTCTTCACCCGGGACAGGTACTCCTGTGCACACTTCTTCAGCACCTCTTCATTCTGACGTGACAGAGGACAGAGGTCACGCCCACAGAAGAAATGCCCCAGGTGCTGGGAACCCCGAGAACTCCCTGATGCTGCTGGAACCCTGGACCGCCAAGTCCAGGTCCCTATAATCTCTCCCAACCTGCTCCAGTTTTCCCCACCCACCCTGTCCAGCGTCCCGCTCTGCCCCGACATGAACATACCTTGCGGAAACCCTCAAGGACCTCCTTCATCTTCTCATATCTCCTGAAGAGATCGGCCAGAGATTTCTCCACGGAGTTCAGGTCGGCCAGAGCTTGCTCCTTCTCTAGGACCAGCTGCTGGACGGTCTGGTGGGAGACGGACTTCTCCCTCTGCTCATCCTCTGGCAAGAGACACAAGGATCCAGACGATGGGGCCGGGGGATCCCAACCCGGTCTCAGGGGCAGCTGGGGCCTCAGATGCAACTCAGCCTGAGTACAGGGCATCCCAGACTTTGGACAGACCCACCCCCACCCCCCCGAGCCCACCCAGACTCTGTTTCTAAAGGAACAACACCCACGGGCCCAGCATCCCGGACCTGGGCCTTTGCAGTGTGAGATGGGACGGAAACTAGCCACTGTCCTTGAACCTGACCGATGCAGACCCTTAAAAATCCACATTCAAGGCCCCAGTGATTCTGTTCGGTTGACGACAGCAAACAGATCCATAAGGTGGAAAAAAAATCACCACTGAATTTTGTGTGGAGCGAGATTACAAGGTACAGTAGTCTGGGCTCTGAGGAACAGGCCTTTCTATGTGTTATCAAAACAAAGAGATGGTTATTGGAAAAGAAAAAAGATTTCCTCATGCCTTAAAACGTCCCATGAACCAAAGCCCACATCACCATCAGCCCCGAAACTCTGCTTTGCACAGAAACGGACATTTCCTTTGATACAGCAAATGTCTTAACTCTGAGAAAAATGGAGCTCTTTCTGGCAAAGTGAGTTTCTCAGTTATGTCCAAAAGAATTAATTCTGGCCCAGTTCAGAGTGGCTGATCCTAGTAAAAGGAACGGCTCCGTCCTCGACCCCACCCCTTGGGGCCACCACCCGCTAACACTCTCCCCCAAACAGCTAGCAAACCATCTCGTATTTATGGGAAAGGCTTTCTCTGACCACTCCGCATAAAAGCCCCTCACCCACACAGCGCTATCTTTTGTGTGCTGGCCCGTTGGTCACCCGTCTGGGTGGGGGAGGAACCTTTTGTTCCCATCTGTTTGGACCTCTGGTGACAACAGAGAGTGGAGGGGGGAGAAGCCCCCTCTCAGAACACTTGGGGGAAGGAGCTCTGCAGAGCTGTCCTCCCCTCAGCCCCAGGTCACCTGGGCGGGGGTCCTGATGCCCAGGACTACCTCCAAGGGCTGGCCGCCGTAGGGTGGATGGCTCTGGAAATGATGACAGACAAAACAACAACCAGCGTGCACCGAGCTCTTCCACGCGTCAGGCGCCCTGCTCACTGTTCTATTCATTTAATGCTCCTAAGCCAGCACCCGGCCGCCAAACTAAACTTCCTTAAGTCCAAACTGGGTCACCGGGCTCCAGCTCAGAGCCCCCCGGGGTCCTCCCTGTGCACTGGGAATGAAATCCAAATTCCCTCCCCACCTGCCCCAGCTACACTGGCTGGCACACCCCAGGCGGGCCTGCCCCAGGGCTCAGTGGCCCCAGAGCTCACTCACTCAGGTCCCTGACACCAGGCCACCTCCCCAGAGGTGCCTCCCTGAGCACCTGCGGGGAACGCCTCCTCCCTACTTTCCAGTCCATTCCCTCGCCAGCGACGGTCAGACATGCAAGCGCCCGTGTGTCTGCCGGCTGTCTGCCCAGAACGCACACTGCAGGAGTCTGTTTCGTCCACTTCTCTAGCCCAGGGCCCAGGACAGTGCCTGAGTCACAGGATGCCCCAACACATCCGTGCTGGGAATGAGCGAGGGGAGCCTGGCCCCGGAGCCCGATCCAAACCCAGAGCCGCGCTCATGACCATGCCTCTCCACTGGCTTCTTAATAATAGACCTGGGAGCTCCCTTAAAATCAGGGGAAGGCTGGGGGTGAAGGAGGGCACTTGTGATGAGCACCGGCTATTGCACGCAAGTGTTGAATCACTATCGTGTACACCGGAAACTAGTATCACACTGTTAACTGACTGGAATTTAAATAAAAACTCAAAAAAAAAAAAAAAAAAGGCAGGGGGATGCTGCTTTGGGTTCTCTCCCTTAGGTTCCGGATAGATAGCATCTTCCTTGTCCTGCAGTTAGGCCTATTTTGCCGTGTGCTGTGCAGGGAAGCGCCCAGGGACGGGGAGGGGGGCACATCCTGGGTTTTAGCTCCAGCTGTGAGATAAACTTACTCCAAAGTCCCGACCCTCAGGGGCCCGGGGCCTCATCTCCAAAACGAAAGGGTTGTCACCCACGAGTGCACACCCAAATGAGGGGGGCTTGTCTGAACACAGGCTGCAGTGTCCCCATCCCCACCAGTGGTTCTGGTCTGGCAGGTCTGCGAGGCTGTGCATCTGTGCCAAGTTTCCCGATGACACTGAGGCGGCAGGTCCGGGGGCCACGCTTGGAGAGCCACAGGCCTGGAAGATGCCTGATGTACGTCCAGCCCTGCCTTTCAGAGCTCCCGCTACCAAGGCAGAGGTGAAGGACCCAGGAGCCAGACCCTGACTGCTCAGGTTCCGTCCTGGCTCTGACACGTCCCAGCCCGGCCACCCTGGGCAGGGTTTTTAACCTCCGTGAGTCTCAGCCTCCTGAGCGGAAAGAGGGGCTCACGGTATTTATCTCACGGTATTGGGGGAAAGATTAAATGAAAATGTATATAAAGCCTTTGACACACAGTAAGAACCCAGGATCACTGACCCATTATTGACAGCATCACCAGCTCCCCCAAATTAGCGTGATGTTGCGTCACAGTGACTTACAAAGGGGGAGCTTTTTAACATACAGGGAGAACCAAACTGCCAGCAGCCGGCTTGCTACACCTAGATTCCCAAAAGGAAAGCCGCTTCAAAGGTTCACCAGTAACCCAACGCTTATTTTTACTCTTTTGAGTCTTAGCTGCTTCCTTAGTCCTCAGCACACTGCACAATTTACATTCCAGGCTGATCTGAGACCATGTATACATTTCACTTGGCTCGTAAAGAGCCATTTATCAAACGGAGTCCATCTGATTTCCTGGATCTGAGACTTAGCCGGCCTCAGGTTTCCTGTCCTCCCCATAAACGCTTGTAAAAATAGAATTTCCCGGTTCCCAGGAGACCGAGGAGGTGAGAATGCATCGCCAATCTTTTTGTAAATTACAAATGCACTCAGGTTCTTCAAATCAGGAAATCAGCCCCAAACTCAAAAGGCTCTAGCCTCAACCACAAAACAGTACCCCTGGAGAGGTTTCTGGCTTCTTCAAGCAAAACATTATTAAACCATGTGGGGGGATAGGGGGTGGGGATGGGGGGGGGGGGGAGAAATGCAGCAAATACACAACAGCACAAGTAACAAAAACAGAAACAAACAAACCAACACTGGTTGCGATGGGCAAGTGTTAAATTAGGTGAAAAGCATTTACTTACCAGGCTTGCCTGTTTGTTTTGCAAGCAAAGGGCAAGAAGCAACAGAAAATGAAAGCAAAACAGATAATCAGAGCAGTTGTTAGGAAAGCAGAAAAAAAAAAAAAATCAATTGCAACAACCTGGAATGCAAAAAGCACAGAGGTCTCTTTTTGTTCTGAATCCTAAATAGTCAATATTTGAGCTCAGTTTTAGTAACATGGCACGAAAACGGACAATAATGGCAGGACAGATGTCGGGCTGGCGTGGAACATTTGTGAGGGTTACACGGAAGCCTGAGAGCGGGGCGGGAGCCAGGAGGAGCTCGTGTAGGTCGGGTGGAACCTGGTTTTAACTTCAAAACACTACTGATGTTCATTCTACCCCGGACTGCTAAGCTCCTGGGGCCTGAGTTTTCCCTCCCACCAGGGATGCTGGTGAGGTGGGCGAAAACCAGAAGAGAGATAGGAGACCCAGATGAGCCATGTGGGTATGCTTCCACTCACGGCCTGCCCAGAAAGGAGGCAGGTGCCACCCACAGCGACAGTAAGTCCCAGCTGTGCCTCAGCCCCACGCCGCCTTTTTACAAGGTGACGAGGACCTCGAAACCCGCCGCAGACCTCATCCACATGCCCTGCAGTAGTGACTGATGGGATGACAGGCACAGATGTGCCACCTGAGGGACAAGGTCTGAGAAGTGGCTGATGCAGAAGACACTGAAGGTGCATGAGGATGGGGAACCAGGGGCGGATGTGCTCTGTCACACACCCCCCCCTGGAATGACGGTGCCACTTGCCACTCAGGATGCTGGAGGGGTCTCAGGAGCTGCTGGGAGTGCTCAAACACGCCCAAACAGGAAAAGGCTCGGAGGGGTGAGGTCACAGCTCTTGAAGAGAGGAATCCGCAGGCCAAACATACCAGGTCTCCCCAGGGGAGGGGCTGGGGTGCTGGGGGCGGGCGTGCGTAGCCAGAACCCCTGGAGTCAGGGTTCCACGCACTCAGCTTGCCTAGAGTTGAAATGTGCTTCTAACTACTCTCACCTGCAAATACGCTGCGAGGAAATCAGAGTTGAATCATCTTTTCTGTCCAACAGGGACAGACCACTTGAGGCAGGCAGACAGAGCCTACTCTTCGGTTTTTAAGAGGGAATGTCTGCTTGTATCAAAACTGTCAGCCGAGTACTAACAGATGGCTCTGGACAGCCTTCTCGCAGGGGCAAGGCTCATGCCCTTTTACCCCCATCTCAACTTTGGCCCAAATGTCATCACCAAGAGCAAAAATAACAGCGAAGAACTCTGAGACGCAGAAGGATCTTTCCAGATGAGCCACCGTAGGTCTGAGGTGCATTTTCACAACCCGAGACTCCAGGAGGCCAAAAGGTTGTGCTCAGAGTGCCAAACGCTGTATATTGGAAGACATAAATCCTTCTTCCTGACTACTTTTACAGCAGTTTCAGTTCCAAGAGTTTCGTTTTTTTATCTCATCCATATGTATTCATAAATTCTTATACCAATTTAATAAAGTAGTTTCATTTGATAGAAAGCATATACCATGAGCTGATCCTTAGAAACACCCCAAATGGGCTTTCCCTGAGATCTGGGAGAAATGGCCTTTATTAAAATACATCAAAATTAGAGCTCCTTTGAATAGAAAGCACTCAGTTGTTGGCCTCTTCGCCATTCCCAAGCCTGCTCTCATATTTATTTTGGGACGAGCCCGAGGTGTGGGGTGACTCGGAACCAAACGTTTGAGAGAGAGGAGTCATCTGTTAACCCAGCCTCCAGCTTCGACACAGAAACTGGTTTGCGGTGAGCTGGGATTTTTTACTCCATACGTCCTTAGGAGTAAAAGTTTCTTTTAAAACTAGTATCACGGACCTAAGCAGCAAGTTAAATAAAGAGATTCCTCCCTGCCACCCCCCACCAAGTCATAACATCATTTTTGAACGGTGATCATCAGTGTAAAAACAGGCTTGGAACTTCTGCAGGATCTTTTCTCATTATTATTATTTTTTTAAAGAGTCAGGTGGGTATCGGTTGTGACTTGAGGTCACCTTCTACTGCAGGCCAAAGCAGCGTCGGTACTCGCTGCCAGGGACTCCGGGTTAAGATGGATTCTGAGTCCGTGGCCATCTCCGTGAGATCAGGTAAATCGCAGGAGGGAGGGGAGAGGTGGGGCGGGCAGCAGCACTACCATGGGTCCCACTGTCCTTGCCCGAGAACCCTGCGTAAGGCTGAGGATTTTGTCACTTGAGTCTAAGTTGGAGTTTAGGGATTTGATTCTTAGTGTCTCCCATGAGCAAAAACTCCCCCAAACATCCTAGGAACTGACCCAAGTCTCCTTCCCCATGAGGTGGGCAGTCCTGGCTCAATGGTGGCCTTGGAGGTGACCGCCATGGCTTCCCACAGGCACAAATAATGCTAAGGGACATGCGCGCGTGTGTTTCCAGGAGGCCCCCAGACTCACATTCTGGGATGCTTTGCTCTCTCCCTCAAGGACTTCGTGCTCTAAGAGGGGCCTAAGACGAACACACGCTGGGAGTCTATCTTCAGAGCCCTCCCAGTGAGTCAGAAGCCTCGGGGAGGCCTGAGCCCACCCATCACGACACCCACCTATCATCTGAGCGATGGTCTTCTCATACTCTGCCACTATTTTCCTGTAAGAGAAGCAAAAACATGTTGGAACCATGACAATAGGATGGTTTCTCCTTGATACTGGGGCCCATGTGCTGGACATCAGCAGCCTGACCGAGACACTAGAGGACAAGTCTTATTTCTTTGTCATAGTTGGCGCACCCCTCTAGGTTTACCTCCAACCTCAACCCTCTTCTTGCACGCCAAGGAGGTTCATTTTCCTAGTGCAGGACTCTGACCACACCATGCCCCTGTGCAAAACCTTGCACGTGTCCCCACGGCCCACTGAGAAGAAAAATAAGAACAAATCTTCAGCCTGACAATCCAAGCCCGCCACACCCTAAGCCTGATCACTCTCATCAAGCTTACCTCCTTCCCCGCCATCACGAACCAAGTGGTTCAGTGAGAACAAATGAGTTTTTGTTGGCTCTGGGGTTTCTCACCTCCATGACCTTCCCTGCCCTATTTCCACCTCTCATTGTCTGAGCTGCTTCTCAAGGTCCAAGTCAAATGCTATCTCCTCCAGGAAGCCTTCCCTGATTTCTCCTCTGAACTTCATGACATTTTATCTGAATTTTCTAAAATGTCTCACACATATGGCATCATAGTACGTGAGTAGAAGCAGCTCCTCAAGGCCCAGGGGCCACTACTTAGTCACCTGTGTTGGAGGCGGGGACATGGGGAACAGTAACACTTGTTGGATAGCTTCAACCAAACCATGGCTACACAAAAGCACTAAGATCCCTTCTTTATAAGACTGCCTCATTGCTGCCCCCGGGTGGAAAGACCCAGGGAGTGAAGAAGCCCTCCTTCCAAAGTCAACCTTCTGGAAGGAAACTCTCAACAAAGACTCAAGGGTTTCACTTACATTATCCAATAGTTAGTTATTCTCCACAAGAGAACCAAGAACTGCTAACCACCAATGGAGTCAAGACCCTGATTACAGCTGGTCCCACACATTGGGGGCTCAGCTTACTCCCTGGTATGGTGAGGATTTCCCTAGACCCTGTGTAGGATCATGGGGGAATTAGATGAGGTTAAATAGGCCAGTGAAAGCAGAAGGCACTCTGCAAAGTCTAAAGGCCTCACAGCTGCTGGGTGTCTGTCACTGACCTTCTTGACCTTGGCCCCAAGGAGAGTGCCTCACTCAAGGGCCAACCCACAACAAAAAAGGTGACCACACCATGAGTCCACTTGGGTTCCTTCTGAATCCTACACAGAAGCAGTTTGTGTTTTCTGTAATTAATCAATACCTCCTTGTATCCCTGAATCCCAAAACAGCAATGGACCTTTGGGGCTGCACCGTCTAAACCCATCACTGCCAAGGACAGAGGCGGGGCCACAGCAGGTAAGGGACGTGTCCTTGCAGCGGTGTGGGGAGACCTGTGGTCCAAAGCTGCTTCAGTGGCACTGTATTTGCATCTCGTCCTCACAGCGACCCCAAGGGGTGGTGCCCTGAGGGTCCCCAGAATTGCTGATGGGGATACTGAGGCACGTGGTCATCCAGAACCTTTCTAGGATCTACAGAGTGGCAGAGCTAGGATTCAAATCCAGACATACGCCTGTGGAGCCTTCTCAGACCCCTTATGCCTTACTGCCCGGAGGCGCTGAGGTCCACCCTCTTCCACAGATGAGGCCAGTCAGACAGAGCTAAGGAACAGGCCCAAAGCAGCTAGGAAGCCGAGCCCGATTTTTACCTGGCCAGGTCTGGCTCCAGAGGTGGACATGTGGGCCTTCAAACACGAGTGCAGCTGTGCCAGTTGGTGACCCCTGAGTCCTACCATACTGGTTAGTAAACAGCACCCGCTGAAGCCCCCGAGGGAGCCCCCAGAGATGGAACTTCTAGCCTTCCCAGCATGCCCCGCTTTCACGTTCAGGGCAGGCAAAAAATTACAGCCATGCTGCTCACTCCTCCACTCCCCTACCAAAAACAAAACAAAACAAAACAAAACAAAAACAGAGAGAGAGAGAGACCAAAGAAAGAGATTTTCAAACGATGCCACCACAGGGCCTCAGTGTCAATGTGAACAGCACACTGGGAATCACCTCCAGAAGTGGTCACAAAAAACATCAGGAGGAAGAAGGAACTAAGGAGAATTTTCAGGAAGATACTATTTGACCTAGAAAGCAGGGGATAGGATTACCTAAATCATTCGCTCACCACCTAAAATGGTAGCCACGAAGGCAGCCGATTCTGATAATTAACCAGCAGCTGCCATTGCAGTTAAGTGCGCTGTAAATGTACTAATTCTTCAACCAATTTTTAAAAATTCATCTATTCCCTACTTTCACACTTTGAGACTTAAAAATGAAGCAAGACTATCAGAGATTTTCTGCATCGCACCAGATCTTCCGTCTTGTGAAAATGGTCGCGCTCTAACTCCTATCTTCCCTTGCAACTGGAAAACCCACGTGTCAGTTCAGCTCGGCTGCAGAAAGGCAGGTGTGTGGAGAAAATGCACTGTGCCCCCAGGAGCCGTTCTCAGACTTGGCGGTGGCAGCAGCCAGACCCTGGGATGGCCAGAGCAAACGTTTGGGCCAAAGTTTCTTTAAAAACGCCACCTGCAATACAGTTTTTTTTTTTTTTTCAAAGATTTTATTTATTTATTTGAGACAGAGAGAATGAGAGAGAGAGAGCACATGAGAGGGGTGAGGGTCAGAGGGAGAAGCAGGCTCCCCGCCGAGCAGGGAGCCCGACGCGGGACTCGATCCCGGGACTCCAGGATCATGACCTGAGCCGAAAGCAGTCGCCCAACCAACTGAGCCACCCAGGCGCCCCTGCAATACAGTTTTTAAGATCACAACCCAAGTGTAAGTTCTAGCCCCAGAGATGGTTTCTTAGCTTCTAAGATGATGATGAATCATGAAGGAAAATAAAGGGCCGAAAGGTGCGTCAGACGGGATGAGGGAGGGAGGCCCCTGGGCACCATGGAAAGAGTTTGGGCTTTGGAATCAGAAAAGTAGATTCAAATGCACATTCTTCTAACTAGAAGCTCCAGGACCTTGGGCAAGTCACCTTCCACTGTCAGATGGGACTGATGATCCCTGCTTGAGGGCTGTGGGGGAGAAACAGAGACTGAGCGTCTCCAGCCGGAAGCACAGCACATGGCACGTGGTAACCACGTGGTGGTTACTATACTTCTGTTACAGATGCAGCAAATGGAAATAAACCATTCAGACAAAATTCTGGAGATAACCTGTTTATCCGTGGAGACTGCTAAAGTTCATAACATTAGAACTGTACAAGGACTATTTATTAAATGTTACACAATGAGGTCAAGTTGTATAAAAATCTGTCCAAAATTTGCTAAGTTAAGGGTGCCTGGGTGGCGCAGTCGGTTGAGCGTCCAACTCTTGGTTTCGGCTCAGGTGGTAATCTCAGAATCGTGAGATCAAGCCCCGAGTCGGGCTCCACACTCAGTGGGGAGTCCGCTGGAGATTCTCTCTCCTTCTCCCTTTGCCCCTCCCAACTGTGCTCTCTCTCGCTCTCTCTCTCTAAGTAAAGAAATCTTAAAAAAAAAAAAAAAAAGATGTGCTAAGTTAAAAAAAAAAAAGTGTAGAATAATGTACATTTCCACTCTCCACTTTGGAAGAAAAAAGGAGTCTGTATAGGGACTCACTCACACATTTGCAATCAGAAACGGAAAATTCTTGGAAGGATACACCAGAAACGGTGGATAGCAGCTACCTGAGGGGACTGGAATTGGAGGCTGAGTGGGAAGGAGATTTGTGTTTCATTGCAAATGTATTTGTTTGTTTGCAGTATTTAGCTCAGATGCATGATATTTTAATAACAGTAACATTACTAAAAATACGTCTGTGAAAATATAAACCTTGTCTCATGAAGAACAGTTAAGCCTTGGGAAGACCCCGTTCATAGACCGCACCAGCTGTTATGAGACCACAGGTAAGCATCTCCCCAGGTACCAGGAAGCATCACGACTGACCTCATTTCCATCACTTCTCGCCTGCTTTCTTCGTATTTGTCCTTCCACTCCGAGACTTCTCTCTCCTTGGTTATGATCTGGCATCAGGGAGAAGAAAGCGGTGAGCCCCAGAGGACTGAATTCAGATCTGAGCAATTCACAGACCCGAGATAAGGAGACATTGAATTAAAACTTCCTACACCAAACAATAATTGTATTGAGAGAATTTTCCGGAGCATGAGACAGAAATAAACCAGATATCAGACTCCCACAATGCCCCACCAGGGAGCAACTAAAAGCATATGCTTTCTGTTATAAATCAAACAAGGCCACAGAGGCTCATTAAAACAATGGTGTCTAGGAAGATCAAAGATGGTTTGCTACCCGTCTTTGCCCACAGTGGTTGCAGGACAAAGACCGTGTCCAAAGATGCTGGCCTTGTGGATCGTGTGTGTGTGTGTGTATTTATTTACATGTGGCAGAAACTGGGAGCTTTCCCAGGGAAACCAGAGCCGGCCTCCCCTGAGCCACACCCACGCCATATACCTCTGCTCTGGCAATCCGGAGTGCGGAGTCCAGGTCAGGCTGCTGGAACAGAAGGCCTGCGGGCTTCTCCACCTCGGAGGTCCCGATGCGGGAGTACAAGGCTGTTTTGGAGATGGAGACATCTGTTGGGTGAGCAGCCTCTCTCTGTGGAATGGTTTTTAATTAAAAAAATAAATAAATAAAGTTAATACGACTCCTATGACAAAGAGGATTTGCATTCAGCCTCTCGTGAATTGGTCAGTTGTATGGTTTTGAAACAAAGAACATCAGAAGTATGAGAAAATGCTTGGGCTGATGAGTGGGGAAAGGCCAGACACAATCTATGGAAATCGATCATTTGGCACCAGCACTGGCAGACAAAGGAGCTTAATAGCAGAGGCCTCCCCAGCTCCCCACTTCGGGAGTCAAGCATGTCTGGTGCTTGCTTATCACTGCCATTTATCACACGCAGAGGCATTTAGGCATAGTGCTTAAGAACCAAAGCCATTTTCCAGCAGGCTCCACTTCCAAAATAAAAGCCTGATGGTGAACGATGCTGAATTCTAATCTGCATGTGCCTAGTTTTGAATAACTGCAAATCTGATCATTTTTGTAAGACTGTCTGCATTTCAATTTGGAGGGGGGTGGGCATGTGTTTAGCTCTGTTTGAAAGGATATGCTCATACAAAGCTTAAGGCCTACTGAACCTATCAACCAACGTCACCTACAAAAGCTAGTTTCTGGATGCCTCAAGGGAGGAGTTACTTTGCAGCTACGTTGCCTTAAGTTTGCTGTGTCAACGGCAAAATTGAAATCTGGATCAATGACAGTATCCGCATTTGTTGGTAAGACCCTCAACAAGTGGTGGGATTCCCCACCCCCGCCCACAACAGACACTGGTCTGACTGTCCAGGACAGCCACTAGCCTCCTGGAAGGGAGAGAGGAGAGGACCGCGGTTACTCTTTCTCCCTTTGCACAAAGAGCTCAGCCATTTCCATCACACTTGAAATGCCATGTTAGGAGCATCATCAACCAGCACAGCAGGGGCCAGCGGTCTAATTCTACTGCAAGAGACTCCAAACCAAGCACACTCTCAGTCCTATGCATTAACCTCCTGGTGCTGGCATGGCTGCCAAGGCAAACCTGATTCCTAGAGTCCAATTCGATGTGGAGTAATGGTGCTCTGCCAGTCAGAGTGTGACTGCAGCTTCCTGGGGAAATGGATGAGAAGTGAGCAGTGAACACAGCACCCAGGTGGAGGAGAAAGAGAGATCTGGGGAAAGAACAGGGAGGACTGGTCTTGGAAGTGGAAGCAGACAAGATTAAAGACCCAACAATGAGGGCGAGGGGGCGCCCCTGAAGGTACTCTCTCTTCCATCGCAAGAACAGGCAACCTCACCCCACTACTGGGTCAGAGAACATGAACTTGCAATGACTTAGAAAACTCAGGCAGAAATTTAATGGATAGGACTGGAGATGACACAGTTAGGCCCAGTTAGCTGTACACGTGCATGGTGAATGACATGGTTTTGGTTGTCCTAAAAAAGGGCTTGGGTTTCACTGGCCCTGCCCGGCCTTGCGTATTTGGGCTCCCTGCGCAGGGGGACCCGAATGATTACTCGGGTCAGAGAGGGGAGGGAGCACACTGAAGGCCCTGGAGACACACTCTCCTGTCAAATGGGATGCCATGATCTTTCCATCCTCAGGTCCTAAAGCAGCCTCCATTACAGGACATTTGACCAACACACAGAAGCAGGCAGGCTGACCTCTCAGAAGAAAGCATGCCACCAGACCAGGGTGTGGAGCCTCTCCCGTGCATGGGTTCATCTCTGCTGTCTGAAATGTTTTCAAGGCTCTACTTGTCATATGGGAAACTTCTCAGGAAGTAAATAGAAAATTATACCCAGAGGTCTTGTTTGCGACTCAGGTCATGATCTCAGGATCATGAGATGGAGTCCTGCCTCCTTGGGCTCCGCGCTCAGCGGGGAGTCTGCTTAGGACGCGCTCTCCCTCTCCTCTGCCCCTCCCCCTGCTCGCTCTCTGTCTCTCTCTCAAACAAATAAGTAAATAAATCTTGTAAAAATTTTTTTTAAAAAGAAAATTATACCCAGACAATAAGACTCTATTTGTCTTTGTGGAGGAAATTCATAGACAAAAGATTCTGAAGACGATTGGAAAAAAAAAAAACCAACAAAACTGTTCCTGTCACTTTTTAAGTAAAATAATGTGTCCTTTGAAAAAAAATTAGAATAAAGTTTCAAAATGGAAAGAACACTAGACACCATCTAACGAATCGTGGGCCTTTGGAAGATGAAAAAAAAATGGAAGATTTAAGGGATTTGGCCAAAAGGTTTCCCAGAATGAGATTCAGTTCTGACTCCAAACAAGCCAGCTCTCTGAAGTGCGAGGGGAAATGAACTACATCTAACTTTATCATGCTGGGCAGAAATGAAATCTGACCAATGCAGGAACTGATGATCTTAAAGCTGCCTAAGTCCTTTGTACAACAAGGAAGGGAAGGGAAAATAAATACATTAATGAGCTTTCTAAGTAAACACAATGGTTAACCACCACATACAGTGACTCATGATCACCTTTCACCCCAGCCACCTGGTGTTTTCAATAAAGGAACAGATGACTTCAGAATCCATTTGAATTCTGCCTGGAGTATCTGCATGTTAATGAAATTCAAGGTACACACCCTGGTTTTCTCTTACAACAGAGAATCATTTCTTTTTTTTTTTTTTT